GGGCCGCGGGGCTCGCTCGGCCCTGGGGAGCGCCCCCTGCCGGGGCCGACAGGAGGGATCACGCTGGGAATCAACCCGCTGCCCCCGGGCTAGGAGAGGATCATTCGCCCGCCCCGCCCTTTATATTTTAATGTAATGTAAAGAAAGGTGTGTGCCTGGACACGTGTTCATTTAATGGTATGAATCTGGGACCCAGCTAATGGTCTCATTCAAACATGTTAACCTAGTTCTTTCCCCCCTTACCCCGATAGTTTCCCCAATTATCACCTCTAATACCATTAACTCACAAACATCCCACTCTCCCTACCTCTATCATCATCAATTCACAGACACTTACCTTCCTTCCTCCCCCCTCCCCCGCATCCCCCTCCTGTTCTGCAATGTGATTTGTCCTTTTCATATTTGTTCATTTTTTTTTAATTGTATCCTTTGGTATATATGGTTGTGACTACTTTCTTCCACTATTTGATCTGAGGAAGTGGGTCTGGCCCACGAAAGCTCATCATCTAATAAACCATCTTGTTAGTCTTTAAAGTGCTACATTGTCCTGCATTTTGCTTCCCCCTTACCCTCTTTGACTTAATACATCTTACAACACTCATAGACTTCCATCTGCAGCCGTAAGGGCAGCTTTCTCTGTATTCAGCAAAATAGGAGAAAGGAAAATAGAGAACTGTTATGTGTTAACATGCTGGACTATACCATGTGGTTAACAGCATGCTTATAGGTTCTTTAGAGCAAGGATTAAGGGTGCATCTACACTGTGCCGTTATTCCGGAAAAGCAATACTAGCATCCAGCCAGCAACTGTGTAATTTTGAAAGAAAATCAAAATAAGAGGGCTTTTTCCAACGTTAGTAAACCTCATTCTCCGAGGAATAATGCCTCTTCCAAAATAGCTCATTAGGACCATTCTAAGTTATTCCTCCCCAGTGCCTCCTGGGGCTCTAAATCAAGATAGTGCATCCACATTAGGGGAGTCTGCCTCTGACTAATTTTGAAGCTTTCCTGTAGTGTGGAGGCTCTATTTCAAAATTATCTATTCCAGAATTGCTTTTTCCAAAATAAGCCTGCAGTGTAGATGTACCCTTTAGAAAGGAATACATAGTCCCTGTACAGGAGAAGGAAATCCTTTCTATCGCATTATAGTGTATGATCAAGGCAGGGATTTTTTTTCTTTCAAAGCTTCGTCATCTAACTACATGATGGTTTGAACTGCTTGCTCAAAAATTCATTTAATTAGAAACAGAGTGCTGTTATGCTACTCCACTACAAATAGATAAGCATAATTTCTACTTCAAAAGTCGTTACATCATTTCTAAGAAGAGCTTCGTGTTTCTCAACCTTTTTTTTTATAAAGTACCCCTTTAAAAAAATTACAATACCCCCAGTAACTACAGTTTTCAGACACAATTTTTTTTTTCTACCATTGCAACACATTTGTTTAAACAACTTAATCGTAGCCAGGCGGGCGATAAAATTTTTGGGTGTAAAAAGTACAAAAATAATAAAACACTGTAAAACTTAAAAATTCAGCTTTCTCCAAATTTAAGTTGTGTTGATGTACCCCTCAGACTTTTCTCAAGTGTTCCTAAGGGTACTCGTACCACTGGTTGAGAAACACTGCTATAGATCATAGCAAACTAAAACGTCATTGCCTGACTTACATGTAAGTATTTAGGGAAATAAGGGCTGGATTTGTGCCTAAGGAGGAGAAAAGACATCTTGGAGCCTTCTACCAACTCGACAGGATCTAGCCCCCCTTTTTTTCCCTCCAGCTCCAGGAACAGCACTTAGTGTAACCAGAAGTCACTGAGAAGCTGGGCAGGATCCTCCTCTTGCTTCTTTCAGTTTTATATGTAATAAAATGCTGTCCAGGTCTTGTATTTCAAAAAGGTATTTAAAAAAATTCTTGTATAGATTTTTTTCTCCTATCAATGAGCACAATTTTGCATACCAATTGACTTCAGTCCCATCCTCTGATATCAGCCCCCTTCCGTTTTGAATGAATTCAGGCAATCTAGAGGAGTGCATTGCTGCTTTATGTGCATGGGAAAGAGGGAACTCTGTTAACTGATGTTAATGACAAATGCACTGAATGATGTACTGGAAGAAGTATGAAATCAACCATACATTATGTTGATGTAATGATTTATTATATTATATAGTGAGCCTACGTAGTTAATAAATATTTCACCATACAAACTGGACATTTGGTTTCAAATGACCCAGAAGATTAAGTACTACTACAACTTTTACATCTATTTTATTGTTCTGAAGTCTTGGATACATCTAAGGTAATCTTAGTACAGTATTAAGGAGCACCTGTAGATAAACCAAACCTAGAAACATGCATTAAAAAGTAGATTGTCTATTAAACAAACATTGAATACAATGAAAATATATGCCTTTGCTTCTTAGATTTTTAGGTATGTCTCACAAAAACATATCTGTAAACTGTAGCTTACCACAGTACATACTAATATTGTGGATCAACAGTAGAAACCCCACACCCTTCTCTAGGAGATGTATCAAAACAAAACAAAACATATATTCTCCCTTGCAGTGTCAGAAACATAAAAGGCACCATCATATGATGTTTAGAAAACTCAAATTTGATCAGTATCTTTGATTTAAAAGTTACCTGTAAGGATTGCTGCTCTGACTGGGGGAAAAAGCAGCTTTCAACACCCATATAGAATGTCTCCTGTATATTGTAAACCTTGAATTGTTTTTAGGAATATCATGTGTAAACACAAGGTAAATATAAAATCTATTGGTCTGTTTAGACTACAAATTCTACTCCATGAAAAGCTGCTGCTGTTACAAAAGTGTAAAAAAATATACTAACTTCCTTTTATTAGACTGTAGAATTTTCAGACATGTTTGTTTTGGCAGCCACTTCCAAGCAGCGAGCCCCAAATCAGATTTGACTTGGAGACTAATTCCAACAGCAAAAAAGTGTAATTTCTTTGATAATTTTAGTATTTTTTTTCTTTAAATGTGAATGTTTTGGCCTCTTGCATTTTTATTTTTAAATTTCTGTTCTGTTGTTAGAACTTATGAAAAGTGCCAGAGAGCTGGTAAATGAAGTGTTTTGTTTATCCATGCATAGCAACACAAGTGTTCCCAGACTACCCTCCCAGTGATATAATGAACATCTCTCCAAAGGTAAAAGTTTAGTTTAGTCTCCAGGACTCTTTGACAACACTGCCCACCAGCGTACCATTTTTGACTGAGGTTGCATTGTGGACATCCGTCCACTAGACATTGAAAGGAGGCCACTGATTCATTCCCTATAGGGCATGTTTTTGATTTTCACAGTTCCTAAGTGCAGTCTGTTCCAATACTACTGTAAAGGCCAGTAAATGCTGTTGTAAGATATGTAGCAAATAATTATCTTTATCCTTAATACACTCAACCAGTGGACACCCTCCCCCATAGGTTGGGATCTACTGGTAGATCTTGAAGCCTCTGACAGGTGATCCTGACTGGTTTGGCCAGGAAGCTATCATGTGCTGCCCCTCCACCCACTATCATGCTGCTCCTGCCCTCTGCCTTGGAGCTGCCCCTCTGGGAGCCTCCTGCTTGCTGTGCAGAGTGTGGGAGGGAAAAGGATGGGGGCTCTGATGTTAGGGTATTTCTCCCCCCCCCCCCCCATCTCCACATAGAGAGAAGAGGATGGAGGGAGCTTGGCAATGAAAATCTCTGTCACTCTCACACCCTGTGTGTGTCGCTGTCATTTTTTTTCTCTCTCTCTCTCTCATTTCATCTCCAGACCCAACACATACGTGGGGGGTTGTTAATTCTTTTACTGCCTGGAAAGTGGGGTATTTTAGGTTTTTGACTGGTCTGTGCATTTCATTATTTTCATTTCTCTCATGCTTAAATTTAATTCTTTGAGTAGTGAGTTCTAAAATGACTAAACTGTTGTGGCTCGAGTCATTATCCCTGTGGTAACTGCTGTTCCTGGACATAGCTGGCATGTCCCTGCAGCCCCTGAGAAAGGCAGAGCAGGGGGTCTCCACATGCTGTCCTTGCCTGCAGACACCACTCCTGCAGCTCTCATTGATCAGTAATGGGGAATGGTGGCCAGTAGAAGCTGTGGGCTCAGTGCTGTAGACGAGGGGCAGCACATGGCACCATGGAGCCATGGCTGTACATGCCAGCTGTTTTCAGGAGTGGTGCAAGACCAGGGCAGGAGTAAGCCTGCCTTAATCCCATTGCTTCACCACCCAGCAGCCATCTGTTAAACGGTGCCCAGCCAGAGCCTGCTTCCTGAATCCCTGTCCCAGCCCTGAATCTTCTCCAACACCCAGCGTCCTGCCTCAGACATGAGTCCCCATGCACCCAAATGCCTTCCTAGAGATTGCACTCTGAAGCCCCTCCTGGACCCCAATCCCCCATCCTGAGCAAAGCCTAGAGCCCCTCCCATAATCCAAACTCCTTGGCCCAAGACCAGAGCCTGCACACCAACCCTCGTGAAAGTGCGTTAGGATAGGGGAGGAAGGACTGAGCAGGGTGAGGCCTCAGAGAAGGGGCAGGAAGGAAGTGGGGCAAGGGTATTTGGGTTTGAGGTAGATCTTACATTGCACTTAAATTAAAAAAGTGATCTTGTGGTTAAAAAGGTTAGAGACCACTGCTCTAGACTGACACATCCCTGTACTCGAGTCAACTTCCAAAACTGTAACTTCTTTATTAGCACCACATGCTGAGCCAGGTATTAAAAAGCAAAACAAAAAACCCCAATGAAACAATGGTAGTAAGCAAATAAGATTTCTAATTTACTCCTAAATTCTAAATTAATGTGAATACATGAGATGCTGTTGCTAAAGTGTGTTCTAAATTAATGATGTGAATACATGAGATGCTGTTGCTAAAGTGTGATCTATACAAAGTACTCATGCAAAACTTGCCACGGTGACTTAGTACCTCCATGACTGGTAGTGGGAGTTTTCGGTTGTGTGTATGTGCTGACAAAAGGTGCCAAACTGACAGCCTAACTGTTTTTGTATGTTTGTCTGCTAAATGAGAATGGCACAATCAGAGCCAGCATCTCCGTAATACTGTGCCATCGTACCTCATCCTGTTCTGGAAGAACCCTCTCTGGAGTTCAGAGTGCCAAAACCTTCATGTCCATTCAGCCTTTACCCTCCCTGCTGAAGATGTCGGAAATAGTAGTTTATATGCTATGGACACTTCTGCTAGGAACAAAACTGAAACCAACAATTCATTTCCTTTAAGCTACATATAAACATTTGTCTGATGGAAGCTTCTTTTAGTCTTTACAGCGTTGGGCTAGATTCAAACCAATAACCAGAAAAGTGAAAGAGTCTTACTCCCATAACTAATCATCCAAAGAATCATTGTCCAAAGATCAAGAGGTGCTGCAATTTTAACTATTTTTGTGCTGGACCTTATCATTTTTAAGACTTAACAGTGTTCACATTGGCTCTGAAGATGGTTGCTTACAATAGGCAATATACACAAATGGCATACGTGGACCGTCTCCTCAGATTTATTGTTTTCTGAATAAAGTGGTTATGAGATGGAAATACTCAATGCTATTGTTCTCTAATACTGGTCTACTTTATTTTGAATTGTGTGTAGATAAACTAGCTTGTCATCATAATTAACCGAGTTTCAACTTAATAAACCAAGACTGAAAAAACACAATATATTGTATGCACTGTCTCTGCCTTCAGAACTGGTGATGGTCCACTCAGATTTTATTTAGAAATAATATAAAGTTCAAATGCAATAGAACTTAGCCACACAAAATGATCTGCAAAAGATTTTTATGAACATTCTAACAGCTGCCAGTTTGATCAGATCTGGGTAACAGCTTTAGTGTATTCTCATAACCAACAACAATCCAACCACACCCAGAATGTACATTTTAGGATTTGGGGGGTAAAATCTAAGAGGGGAAATGGATATTTCTAAGCAAATGTAGGCTATCTGCAATTCTACTTTGTAAAAGGTGATGATATGAATAGTTTTCATAGGTGACTTTCCTCCTCAACTAGGCCAGAAGTGTAAATCAAGAATATAATTTCCAATCAAGGCACAAAGTAGTCTGCTAGACATTCCCCCTCCCAACCGCCTCTCCAAAACATTAAAAGGTAGCAATATCTTCCACACCAGATATTAGGTTTAATTGTTCAGGAAGAAGTGTAAGTTTTACCCACATATGGGCTCAATCTGTAGTAATTCAATCAACTAGATGAACAGCCCATTCTCAGCTCACATTTGTTCATTTTCTATATTTGCTTTGGGGGAGGGGGGGGCAAGGACTCTGCATCTTTTTCATGCATATTCTTCAAGAAACTGTATGTGGAAGTCTTTCACTTTCTCCAGTACAATCTTCAGCTTCTCTACTGGAGGGAGAATGGTCATTCTGGGAAAGAGGAGAAAAACGGTAGTGTAAAACATTGGATACGATACATTTGTAATAAACATCATTAATTTAAGAAATGGAAACCAGAAAGACACACACACACACCAGATATAGTTTCCAAATGGTGCAGAGAAGGTAGGTAGAACTTTAACTTCCTGCAATCCACTTTGAAAAGGATTTTGTTATTTTCTGCATTTATGTTACAGCTACAGTTACAGTGTACATACCATATTGTGG